TTTAACCCTAACGGAAGTTGATGTCTTTACAATTTCTGGATTAAGAAGCGTAGCATGCTCAAAACCCAAGAAGATATTCTCCAATTTCATCATTAAGCCTCAAACCTGCCCTAAAATAAGCACATAAAAAAAGAGAGGATGGATATACACCATGGCCAAGTGGGATTTATGCTAAGAATGCAAGGTTGGTTCACCTATGAAGATCAATGTAATACACCAAGTAATAGAATAAATGGGGAAAAACACATAACATCAACAGATGCAGAAAAGGCATCTGACAAAAAGTCAGCACGCTATCGTGATAAGGACACTCAGCAAACTAGGAATAGGAGAGAACTCTGTCAACCTGATAAAAGGTATCTATGAAAAACCCATCCCTGACATCATACTTAATGGTGAAAGACTGAAAGCTCTTAAGATCAGGAACAAGACAAGGATGTCTGTTCTAACCACTTCTATTCAACATTGTACAGGAGGTTTTAGCCAGGACAATTAAGCAAGAAAAAGAAATAATATTCATCCAGATTGGGAAGGAAGAAGTAAAAGTATCTCTATTTGCAGATGACACAATCTTGTATGTAGAAAATCCAAAGGAATCTAAACAAACAAACAAAAAAAACTATTACAGCTAATAATTATTACAGAAAATATTACAGCAAAGTAGTAGAATACAAGATCAATATATAAAACTCAGATGACCAGTTGAATTTCTATACATCAGCAATGAAAAATATGAAAATGAAATTAAGAAAACAATTTCATTTATAGTAGTACCAAAAAAAGAAAAAAAACAGGAATAAATTTAACAAAAGAAGTATAAAACTTGTACAATGAATACTACAAAACACTTATGAAAGACGATTTAAATAAAAGGAAAGATTTCTTATGTTCACGGATTTGAGGAAATAATATCATTTAGATGGCAATATTCCTGAAATTGATCTACAGATTCAATGCAATCTTGAAAAAATTCTAGCTGCTTTTGCAGAAATTGATAAGCTGATGCTAAACTTGATATGGAAACGCAAGGCACCCAGAACAGCCAAAACAATATTGAAAAAGAACAAAGGTGAAGTTGCAAATAAAGCCACTTTCCTTTATTTCAAAACTTACTACAAAGCTACAATAATAAAAATAGTGTGGCACAGGCATAAGACTAGACATATACAACAATGGAATGAATTAAGAGTACAGAAATAAACCCATATATCCATGGCTGATTTCTGTAAAGGTGCCAATATAATTCAATGGGGAAAGAACAGATTTTTCAACAAATAGTAGTGAAACAACTGGATACCTGCATGCAAAAGAATGAGGTTGGACCTCTACCTTACACCATATGTAAAAATTAATTCAAAATGGACCCAAGATAAATGTACTAGCTAAAACTACAAAACTCTTAGAAGAAAACATAGGTGTAAATCCTATGACTTTAGACTAGGCAATTAGTTCTTACATATGACACTTAAAGCACAAGCAAACAAAGGAAAAACAGATAAAATGGACTTCTTCAAAATTTAATCAAGAAAGTAAAAAGAAAACCTATATAGAATGGGAGAAGATATCTGCAAATCACCTATCTGATAAGGGTCTTGTATCCAGAATATATAAAGAACTTTAAAATTTAAAAAAAAAAAAAAAAAGTTAAAAATGGACAAAGCATTTGAATAAACATTTCTCCAAAGAAGACATATAAATGGGCAAACAAGGTCATGAAAAGATGTTCAATGTGATTAGTCCGTAGGGAACCATAAATCAAAACCAGAATAAGATACTACTTCACATCTGGTAAAATGGCTATAATAATAATAAAAAAAAGATGGACAATAACAGGATTAGCAAGGATGTGAAGAAACAGCAATCCTCCTACACTGCTGGTGGGAACGTCAAATGGTACAGCTGCTAAGGAAAACAGTTTAGTGGTTCCTCAAAAAGCTAAACATTGACTTAACATATGACCCAGCAATTCCACTCCTAAGTATACCCCCAAAGGAACTGAAAGCAGGGACTCAAACTGATACTTGTACACTAACGTTCACTGCAGCATTATTCACAATAGCCAAAAGGTGAAACCAACCCAAGAACCCACCAACAGAATAAACAAAATGTAGTAAGTACATACAAAGGAATATTATTCAGCTATAAAAAGAATGAAGTTCTGATACATCCTCTAACATGGCTGAACCTAGAGGACTTTATGGTAAGTTAAATAAGTCAGACACAAAACGACAAATACTACATGATGCCACTTATATCCGGTACCCAGAACAGGCAAATTTATAGAGACAGGAAGTAGATTAGATCAAGCCGTGGAGTTACTGCTTGATGGTTACAGAGCTCCTGTTTGGCGTGATGAAAAAGTTTTGGAAATAAACAGTGGTAATGGTTGTGCCACAGTGTGAATGTAATGAATGTGACTGAACTGTACACTTAAAATGGCAATTTTTATGTTATGTTTATTTTATCATAATTTTTAAAATAATACACCAAAACCCATAGGATTGTGCACTTTAAATGGGTGAACTGTATGATATATGAATTACATCTCAATAAAGCTTTTTTTTTTTTAAGTGAAGGAAAAAAAAGAAGAAATGAGGGCTTCCCTGGTGGTGCAGTGGTTGAGAGTCCGCCTGCCGATGCAGGGGACACGGGTTCGTGCCCCGGTCCGGGAGGATCCCACATGCCGCAGAGCGGCTGGGCCCATGAGCCATGGCCGCTGAGCCTGCGCGTCCAGAGCCTGTGCTCCGCAACAGGAGAGGCCGCAACAGTGAGAGGCCCACGTACCGCAAAAATAAAAAATAAAAAAGAAGAAGAAATGAGCTCTCGAGCTGTAAAAAGAATCTTATGGAAGAATCTTAAATGCATATTGCTAAGTGAAAGAAACCATTCTGAAAAAGCTATGTACGGAATGATTCCAACTATATAACAGTCTGGAAAAGGCAAAACTATAAAAACAATAAAAAGATCAGTGGTTGCCAAGGGTTCAGGGCAGGGGAGAAAGGATGGATAGGTGGGGCACAGGGCACTTTCAAGGCAGTGAAACTGTTCTGCATGATACTGGAATGGTAGACACACACACTGCATTTTTCAAGACCCATAGAACTGCAGAACACAAAGCGTGAACTCTTTGTGTAAACTAAGGACTTTAGTTAATAATAATGTATCAATACTGGTTTAATTGTAACAAATGTAGCACGCTAATGCAAGATGTTAATAGGAGAAACCATGTGTGGGTGGGGAAGGGTATTTAGGAACTCTGTACTTTCTGCATAATTTTTCTGTAAACCTAAAACTGCTCTAAAAAAGACTATTTTAAAAATGTACACTTAACACAGAGCTTGCACTGAGTTTTATCCTCTTCTCATGATTCATAAGACTATTCACTTTAACAAACTATAATTTTACATTAGATGGGGAGGAAGCGCTGATTCTTTTATCATTGCTGAACATCAGGCACTACTGAATCTTCTCAGTTCAGTATCCTGTGCAGCCTTTCCCTACTTCTCCTCTTCCACCCCCAGCAAAATTACTTTATGACCTAAATTTCCGTATTCATAAAACTACTTCCTTCGTAGTTTTTGAAGATTCCATAGTCTTTAGAAACACTTTCTTACATTTATGACTAAATTCCAGTCTAATTATAATTAGTGACATTATTATATCAAATTACCATGCCTCCTATTTTATTTATTCTGTTCTTTTGTTTTCACATTGCCACCTTGGTTTTATTTGGTCTAATTATAAAATGTTTTTTTAAATATACAAGTTTATATAAAACAAAATAAAAATCATCTCTAATACTACCAGTACCACTTGGTGAACTCTTATCTTATATACATAAACATAATTTTTTAAACAAAATTGGACCATTTTGTATATTCACTCTCTTTCTTTCATTTATTCTCTCACTCAACAAATGTCGATGGCTCCTCTACTGCCAAGACCCAGCAATGGGCAAGGTAGACAAAGTCCCTGCCCTCATGGAGCTGACATCTTTTGGGGGAAAATAGGCAAACACACTTGCACTCCTCACAACCATCCTATGAGACAGATACTGCTGTTATCCCAATTTACAGAGAGCTAAACTGAGACCTCAAGTAATCTAGTAAATTGCCTGAGGATACACAGCTAGGCAGTAGCAGAGTCAGGATTCAACCCCAGGTTGGATGACAACACTATTTGATGACAGACTCCGAAGCTTTTAACTTATAAAAGAGATATATATCTTAGTATGATGTACTGATCTTTACAGAATGGTACTGGGGGTAAAGGTTGGATTAGCTCCCCAAAATAACATATTAACTCCAAGGACATAGTTCCTTGACTTCAATCATGAAGTTTGTTCATGGAAAATTATTCATTACTATTTTTGCTATATTTAAATTTAGTAGGACCTCAAGTCCAACTTTTTAACTTTTTTGGTGTATTTATTTTTTTTCACTTTATTTTTAAATTCAATTTATTTAGACAAAAACAAAATCAGTTCACCCATTTCTCCCCGCCCAAACCTCCACCTCTGACAACCACTAATCTGTTCTCTCTATGAGCTTTTTTTTAACTCCACATATAAGAGAAATCATACAGTATTTGCCTTTCTCTGTCTGACTTATTTCACATTGCATAATGCCCTCGAGGTCCGAAAGAATGAAATCTTGCCTTGTACAACAACACGGATGGACCTCGAGGGCATTATGCTAAGTGAAATAAGTCAGACAGAAAGACAAATACCACACGATCTCTCTTATATGGTCATCATCTATAAGACATCATTTTATCAGACACCTAAGTGTGTTAGTTTCACACATCCTTTTGAAAAACAAAATATTGTTCTCTAAGGCACTCAAGAGTCAACACAAAGGATTAAACTGAAAACCATAACTGTCCTAGAGGAAAGGCAGCTAGTACATTTAAGAACAACTTTCCCCCAGCTCCTGCTTTAAAATGATCCGCTCCCAAACTCTTAATCTTTACTAGCACAATGTATAAACTTCATCGGGTACCTTGATCTTTTCCAGCTTCATCTATGTGTTGAAAATCTTTTAGTGTTTGAAGGTTACGGAACCCCTCTCTGCAATGCTGAATAACTTTCTTTGATCCATTCTTGATGAGATAATCCATTAGGGTAAGGGATTTATACACATGGCGCCAGTTCTTCCCATGGTCATTGAGTCTCTGCCATAACATACTCATAATCTCTGAGAGAGAAACTGTGTTGAAAGTCAGGTCACTGATATCTAACATCAGAGAACTAGAAGGACCCCAAGGGTCATTAGAAGTTGCTTCCCTGACTTTTATTTCCGCATCTGAGTAATTTTTCACGAAGTTTTTTACTTGCCTCCTGAATGCCATAGGTAAGACAAATTTGAAGGTGAGATGGGGGTTGAGAGCCATGGACTAGGAGTTTATGTGATTGGTTTATAAAACCTTTGAGAGGTAGTCGGTCCCCAGGTCCGCTGCTCCCAAATACAAATGATTAATCTCCACCTTGACAAGGTATCAATTTCCTGCAAAGGAAGGCACAAACAATATGTAAGTTAAATATTTTTTAAAATGTCTACAGAAGATCAATTCAGTCTGAAAAAGCTAGCTTTAGTTTCCAAATCAGTGCCTCACTTACATCAGCCAGAATTGAGGGTACCATATACACGTTCTTAGGATTGATATGGGAAAATCTCTCACAAGGGACTGGCCTATGTTATTTAAAGAAATATAGGTGGTCTTTCTAGACCTAAAAGTTTCCATTGAAAGTATCACTGAACCTCTTTGGCCAGAAATAAAATTATTATAAAGCATTACATGGACAGTGGATAAGTTACTATAAGAAAATGGAACTTGCACTGTGACATCTCTTGCTTAAGATTTGTTGTCATGTATAAAAATGTTATGTCCTGAGAGTAATTAAGTGCAAACTGAGTCTTAGAATCATCAACTGACCCTATGGTTGTATCCTTTTTAGAACTTACAAGTCATTAGAATCAGATCGAAATATGGTCTGTTTTCTTGTTAATCTAAAAGAGGGGAGGGTCATCAACTATTAAGACAAGTAATTGTCCTTAGTGGACTCCACAGCTAACTCATGGCACCCTAAACCAATATTTTAGTCCTCGTAAGGCTGGTAACTTTAAGGAAAAGGTTAAATTACTTTCTTTACTCAGCTTTAGAAAAAAGATGCCCTGATGAGCATCCAGACCCACTGAAACCTCAACAATCTATAATCAGATTTTACTAGAGACACTGCACACGTACAAAAGAAAAATGTTAAAATCCATAACAAATTTGTCTGTTATTTTTAGTTTTGTTTCTCTTCCTTGACCTTCTCAATTCCTAGCTCAGGCTTGATTAATTTCTGTGTATGTATTTAAGGAAGACATAAATTTTCAGAAGCATCCTAAATAAACTATCACTTCTTTTTTAAAAGATAAGAGAAGGGGATAAGTAATCTTTTTTGATAAAAGTCCAACACATCCTGAAATAAACAAGATAAAAAATCTATCTGTTTAATTAAGATTTCTCCAAAAGAGACTATCATCAACCTTAGGAAGAAAAAGAGAACTTGTGTATTTTTACAATTTTCTGATTTTCTCTCTTGTTTGCACTTCAAACACAGACATTTTTATCTAACTCAATCCTGCAGTGAAAACTCGATTTATAATGTGTTTCAATAAGCTATTAAAATTTTCAGTCACAAGGGTTTTCTTTTTCTACTGTCCTTTTCTCCCCCTCTACCAAGCTCACTCAATGCAGAGATACACGGTGACATTGGCTTAGAGCAAGGAATACTGATCTGTTTCTTCACAAGTCTATTAAAAAGAAAACAAAAACAAAACCCTGTTAGAATCATAACTTGCTGGAATTAAACAACAGTTTTTAAAACCCTCTTTTTCTTTTCTGGATAACTACCTATCTAGAAAATATATCCATACATATACCTATGTATATTTTGGAGGGACAAAATAATTTTTAGGTTTTCCTCTATTCTCTAACCCGCATTTAAAAATTTTTTTAAATGTTTTCATAAATGAACTTTCTGCCCAAGAAAACTATCTACATAATAGCTTTCCATCCAATAGAGTAGTTTAAAATGGATGTGCTAGACATCATACCAAAATTAAACATATTCCTAACCATTCGAAAAACCACAAGGAAATATGTCTGGATAAGTGAATTAATATCATTTACTAACGTACAGTACTTTGTGACATGAACACAGAATATGTAAGACACCATTCTACTAATGAAATCTTTTCAAGCTAACAAGGAGTTCAGTTAATTGGTGTTAGTTGTAAATTATATGTTGTTTTACTATGTGTTTCAGACACCTGACTATATACAAATGCTCAGTTTACTCAGTCCTTCAAAATTTTGAGATTATATCAATAAATACAGTGATGTGACATCTAAGACAAAAGTAGTGCCCAAGAGGGTAAATTTTCACACCTGAATTTTGGTTGTCTGGCTACCCAAATCCCTGTAATATTTAGAAATGGAGAGAAGTAAGATAGTTCATATCATAAACCTGGGTTGCCTCCTCTGACAGGCCTTCACCCACCACACTTACTACTTAGGTCTACCCATCATGCTCTTTTCAGCACCCAGTTTATTTCCTTCATGGCACTTATCAGGATGCATAGTTATGTGTTTGTTATTTTCTCTTGGCTTTCTTCACCACCAAACTGGAAATTCCTTGAGAGCAGGGACCATGATTGTCTTATTTACCAGTGTAATCCTACTGTGTAAACAGGTACCTAGCACATAGCAGGCACTCAAGAAACAGGTCACTGAGTGAATGACCAAGTGGTGGAGTGATACTGCTTTGGGATAAACCTGAATTGATTCTACAGCTTTTAATTATAAACATGACACTTAAAATATATAATCTATCTCTTGTAACTGTCAAGTAAAACTCTAGAGTTTTGAGCAAACATTTTCAAATCAATCAACAAGTATTTCTTGAGTACCTACCATTTATATGGCTTTGTGGAGGATATAAGAAACATAAAACATGCTCCTTACATTCAAAAACATCATTTAGTTAAGGAGTTTTCTCCCTTAAATGATTCTAAAATAAACGAATGATGAGGTATAAAAAGATCTCTTAATTTTCTTATTACATTTACCCAATTCCACAACTCTTTGGCAAAGCCTGTTTTCTCCCCCAACTTTACCTGAATCATAACAGGAGAGCATTTAAGTTGTCAAGTGACATTAAAATATGGGTCCACAATCTCTTATCTGAATCTTTTGAGGCCAAATGAGTCACGGAATTCAAACTCAATTTTGGGGGGGTAACTTTTAGAGGGTAATGCCATGCCTACAACCATATATTACATGATACCCACAGTGAGATCTGGGGTAAATTAAGCAAGGTCTGAACAATCAAACACATTAACATGACTGCAACAAAAATTTGCAAATATTTGGAATAAGTAAAGACAAATGGCTGTTTCAGTTCAGATCCTGTGGCCAGATAAGTTAGGGGAAAAAATTGGTTTTCAAAACTTTCTGGATGTCAGAATTGAGAATAAAAGATTGTGGAGCTAAACTGACGTTTTCCAAAGATTTAGGACAACAATGACAACAGCATCTAAGAGGCTGAGTACCTAGACGCATCTCTGGAAAGACACATTTAGGGCAGTGCTATGAGGACAGCACTGCTCTTATGTTTATACAGGTTCTGCCTGTAGACATGAGATCAACTCAGGAGAAAATAAGCTCTGGCCAAGATCATTATAGAGGAAGGATTACAGAGCATACCTCAGCATTAGAAGGTGTTGCTGTTTTGATGGAAAGAACTTGAGTCCCTCCTGTGTGTTCATTAAATCACTCAACTATTAATTTTCCAGAATTTATCATGTGACAGACTCCATTTCCAAGAAATGGAGAAACAGGTGCACAAGACACAGTCCCCACCCTCTGGAGTAAATGGCTACTCTTTACTGAATGCTCACAACGTGTTCACACCTAGGCACTCAGTACCTCATCTCATTACTTTAATTAGGATTCCAGAGGCACGGATTTGAGGTCCTGCTCTGCCATTTCCTAATTAGGGCTTAAGGACTTCTCTGAGCCTCTATTTCCCCATCTGCAGCATAAGGAATAATCACCACCTAGGGAAGACTGTTGAGGGGAAGACATGAGATGTCCTGTAAAGAACTTCTAACGTGAAGGTCAGAGGGAGAATCAACTGCCTGTAGCCAGGGTCGTTCCTTGGCATTCGCTTCATTCATTCAACAATCTTTTCAGAATGACCACTGTGCTCCAGGCAGGCCCTGTGGAGGGCACTGGGTCACACAGACGACTCAGCCCAGCGACTGTCCTCAGAGAATTTACTGCGAGTGGGAGGCTGGGCCTTGGAGAAGCTTCTAGAAGAAAGGAGTGACGTGATGGCGTCACACAATAATGACCTTCCCTCACGCAGACCTGCGGGCCTCGTCGCCCTCCCGCCTGCCTCCGGCCGGAGCAGGGAAGCAGCACGGGATGGGCAGCGGGAGAGCACCCCTCCAGGCCCCTCCAGGCCCCCTCTCCATCCCCACCCCCACACTAGTGGCTCCTACCTGAGGAGAACGTCCAGCCGCCGGCTGTCGGGCTTTTCCCTCCGCAACACAAGCCCCGCCTCCTCCAACCGGGCCAGAGCGCCCACGCCCGTTCCCACTTCCGCTTCCTCACTTCCGACCCCTCACTTCCGGCCTTTCCCAGAGCCGAAGTCTGCCGCTCCCCGGGCTTCAAAGGAGAGGGATCTCGAGGGTTAAAATAAGCCCCGCTTGAGGGTATCCCGCGGCTTGAAGGCAAATGTCTTCATTTCATGATCTGTTGGGCTGTGGCACTGCCCTAATCCTTCATTCAAATAATAAATTTTACAATTTGTGTTACTAGTGTCATTTTAACTGACTGGAAACACCGTCCACAGCTGATTTTCATCTCAAAGGACAAAGAATGTAATCTCTAGTAGTAGATTACTAGAGGTGAAAAGTGTGTGTGATGGGCAGTGACGGAGTGCCTCCGATGAGGGCCTTCGGTACCACTGATGTGTACTCCTTGAAATATTCGACTGACCTTCACTGGGCACCTACTATGTGTCAGGCACCCCCGAAAGCAGCAAGGACTCAGATAGGACAGAGTTCGATGCTGGGTGAGTTTCGAGGCTAGTGGAGGTGACAGGCACCATCCCAGAAGATTGCGACAAGATATGTATAGCATAATGGGAGAGGAGAGAGCATCTAATTCTACCAAGGAGTATTTGAGGGCCGGTTTCAGAGAACAGTTTACATCTGAATTGAATCTTAAAGGATGACAGGAGTTCCCTAGATAGGCAAAGTAGAGGAAGCCATTAGAGGCAAAGGGCACATCAT